AATTTAAGTAACAAAAAAAGGTTGTCAGTATTTTCTTCTTATCAAGTTACGGACGTAAAGTTCCATAGAACAGATTTTAACTAAAAATTTTAAATTCTGAACTGGTTCTTATTAATGTAGCGAATAAACGAGAAAATAGACTAGGTTTTATAAAATGTTCGCATTCGTCTACCATAAGTAGAAGGGTATGCTCTTAAAGACACTTTGACTTTTGACCTGTGACGTCCCAAACCCCGTCTACATTCGTTTCCACTGTTCGAGACCTGATCTAACGCTGTTCGAGACCTGTTCTCGACCTAATCTAAAGCTATTCGGAGGATATCTACAATGAATAAGGATTTGAAGAGAAAACTTATAACTAAACGGAGAAACATCCAAAGTAAATTGAGACAACTCAAACAAGGACAAATAACTCCAGAAGATTTATTGATTGTAGGTATCTTCCGTAAATAAAATATGATTAATACATTTGAACATCGGGGAATTGCCGTCTTTTAAATTTGTGTTCAAATAGTTTAAAAGTTATTTAATTAATTTATCCCTGAGGCTAAATATTTAAACTATTGAAGTTGCTCTATTAATGATGCTCGACACATTTGGCAAATTTCATAGGATTCTTTAAGACGTAAACTATCTCAGAAGTTAAATGCATATTGCGTTTTCATCGAAATTATTTACAAAATAAACGTTTGATAAAGGGATATATTTTTTACTTATATACAATTGTAATAACTATTACAATATCTTTAAATTATTAGTATTAATATTTTATTTTACTATTAGTATAAATACGCTGACCGCATATCTCGTTCCAAAAATTTTTTGGTTAGAGGCGTCCCCGAACCTACAGGAGACGCACAAAATAAAAAAGATCATGATAAGAATAAAATACATTTAGCCCTAGAAGTCATTGGATGTCAAGAAAGTCCTGTTACATTTTATAGAGTCGGTAAACCAAATCAAAATAAACGTTATCCCCGCATGATAAAAGTGATAATGAGTTCTGAACACCACACTCGAAAAATTCTTCGTAACAAAAATAAACTTTTGGAGAACAAATCTACTGAAACTTATTCTGTTATTGATGACAAGAAAACTATGCAGCAACTTCGTTTAAAGGAACTTCGTACTGAGCTTGAAACTCGTAAAAATAATGGAGAAAATGACCTTACGATTAAATATGTGAATGGCTGTCCAAAGATAATGAAATTTTGTTCATAATTCTTCTGCACTAAAATTTACGGATTGGCTTCTTATGTATACGAATCTAAACTCTCTTATGTCCAAATTTAATGAATTTATAAGTACTGTTCAACTTTTAAAACCTCACATTATTCTCCTAACAGAAACGTGGCTTAATTCTTCTATTCCCGATGCTATTGTAAGCATTGATAATTTTACTATATTTCGTAGAGACAGAGGTACTCGTCGAGGGGGAGGAGTATGCATCTATTTAGCAAATGAAATTACCAACACTTTTTCCATCAGTAATAAAACAATAGACGTACCTGGTATAGAAATTATCCACTTACTTATTACTAAAAACTCTTTCATATTTAATATAGTTTGCATATATCGACCTCCCGATACAGTACTTACTCACGACAATATTATGCTTATTAACAAACTTGAGGAATTATCATCCCTTGAAAATCTTATTGTTGTTGGAGATTTCAATTTTCCAGAAATAAGCTGGCCCATTATTTCCAAAACTGATACTATTAATTCCCAAAATTTGTTTAAAAACTTTATCATGAACTCAAATTTATTACAACTGATAACTGAACCTACAAGGTTTAGAGCCAACAATAATCCTTCAATTTTAGACTTATTTTTCACAAATGCCGATGAATTAATTTCTACACTCGAAGTGTCCTCTCCTGTGGGTCTTTCTGACCACTCGCTTATTACTGCTCACATTCAATTTAGTTTAACACCGCCTTGCAAAAATAATTTCGTAACGTATGCCACTACTAATTTCTTTGATGTAAATTCAGTTTTATCCCAGATAAACTGGCAATCTATTTTTCCTAATCACTCTGATCCATCGTCAATGTGGGACTCTTTTCTTCATACTGCTATTACAACCATTTCTGATCATACAACCGAACGGCAGGTATATAGAAATCGACTAAAACCTCTCAGCTACTAATTTAATTCGACATAAGCGAAAGCTTTGGCGAAGATATAAACTCACTGGTTCCCCTGATGATTTTCTCGCCCACCGTAATTTTTCTAACCGAGTCAAACAATCTTTGCTAAAGCTAAGAACATAATTTAAGGAATCTATCATTGCAAGTGGTAATAGTAAAAAAGTTTATCGGTACATTCGTACATCTTTATCTTCTAAAGTCTCCATACCATTGCTTCAAAAAGCTGATGGGTCTTTATGTTCTTCGAATAACGAATCTTCGGAATGTTTATCGTTATTCTTTTCTCAAGTTTTTACAGATGAATCTAACGATACCATTCCTCAAATAATGTGCCCTCGTTTGTCTAAAACTCTTGACAATATATCTTTCATACCGGATGAAATTAAACATCATTTAAGGAAACTGCGAAATAATTCATCACCTGGATTAGACGGACTCACCTCTTTTTTCCTCAAACAATGTGCAGATTCTGTAGCCATCCCTATATCTCTCATAATGACTGCTTCTTTTAATCAAGGTTCCCTCCCCTCGTCCTGGAAATTAGCTTCAGTTACTCCTGTATTCAAGAAAGGTAATAAACTTGATTGCAATAATTATCGTCCAATCAGCCTGGTTCCTATTGTCAGCAAGGTCATGGAATCGATTATTTCAGAAGCTATGTCCGAGTTCCTTCTTCAAGAAAATGTCATCCCTCACCAACAGCATGGATTTATCAAAGGTCGTTCAACGATCACAAACTTACTTCATTGTGTAAATGATTGGTCATTATCTTTAAACAATCGGAATCCTGTCGATGTAGTTTACTTAGACTTCTCCAAAGCTTTCGATCGTGTTCCAAAACGTCGATTACTAGCTAAATTGGATCACTATGGTATCCGCGGAAAATTAAACATTTGGATACGAGATTTTCTATCCGACAGATACTTCAGGGTTCGTGTTGGGGAAGACCACTCATTAGATAAGCCAGTCAAGAGTGGAGTTCCACAAGGATCAGTACTTGGACCGCTACTTTTTTGTGTCTACACTAGTGATCTTCCGCTCATTGTATCCAGTAAGGTTTCCATTTACGCTGATGACACTAAGTTATATGTGAATCCAACTATTAACCAACATATTCTTCAACAAGATCTTGACGCAATATTCAAATGGTCCTCAGAATGGTTACTTCCGCTTAACATTGAAAAATGCGTTGTTTTACATATCGGCAAAAATAACCCATCACTGCCGTACTTTATTAATGGACATCCTTTAAACTCTGTAACCTCACACAACGATCTCGGAATGATAATTAATAGTGACTTAAATTGGTCTGATCACATAGTGTCGGTGTGTAAACGTGCTAACTCGAAACTGTTTTTGATCCGTAAGTGTTTTGCACGCATATCTCTAACCTCTGTTAGTAAACTTTACTCAATATACGTTAGACCTATTCTTGAGTTTGCCGGACCGGTGTGGAATCCAGATCTTAGTCGCGATAAAATCCTACTTGAAAACGTTCAGCGTAAAGCCACAAGACTGGCATTCGGCCGTGTAAGACCTAACTATGAAGATAGACTATTCATGGCTCATCTTACGACATTTGAGCAGCTACGTCTTCGAGGTGACCTAATTATGTCCTTCCGTATTTTAAAACATAATTTTGGGAACCTAAACACCGTATTCACTTTGAATGAAGACGATAGATTAAGAGGCCATCGATACAAATTAAAGAGGGAACAAACTACTGCAAGGTCCAGGGCGAACTTCTTGCCAAACAGAATCTTTAATATCTGGAACAATTTAGATCAAGACACCATATCGGCAGCTAGTGTTAACATCTTTAAAAATAAACTTGATAGCACTTTATTTTTTTTTATAGGATAGGATATTTTTTCTCGGACAGCATTATTTATTTATTTATTGTGTCACAATTCAATATTCGTTAATTGTTTAACTACTTAACTTTATAATTAGTATTAGTTTTATAAGGATCTATTTTATTTTTGTTTATTTTTGCTTTTTGGGTATAATAGGAGCTCGCTCATCTGCCCTTATTTGTTATATAATAATAATAATAATAATAACTTCTATATTTTTCAAGCTACAAACTTGTACGTACAACCATTAGATAGCTGGTAAAAACTCACATTAAAAAAAAACTTTCTATGACGAATAGGAACGAAGATAGGGACTATTTTGACGAAGTTTTGGAGCATGGCAGCTGCTACTCATTCCACCTTTTTTACGCATACTAAGATATATTACCGGTGTTCTATTATATAGATGATCTTTCACCTATTCACATGAATACATATAAAATCCTAGTACTGTACATATACCTATACACATACACTTCATCTTATTTACATACCGATGCACGTCATTGGCGTCATAGCCCGTGACGTCACATGATACCAACACGAAATATTTAGGCGGTAGGTGTGTTCTTTTTTAGAATCACTTTGCCGAGTACACTGGCATTACGGCCACTAGACATATTTTATTATATACGCGTAGAAATGATATTTAAAAATGTCTATTAATATTAACTTAAAGAAATACACAATAATATGTTTCATTTAATTTGTATAAATATATTATAAAGATTTTTTATGAAGAACATTTGTTCGGAACACACTGTAACTGTAATCGAACGAAGCTGAAACTTTGGCTACTAACCCCCCACCTATGTCTTAAAAGCTTCGGATATCTGCGAAAAATTTTGCGGTGAAATCGATTTTTGCATAACCAGACTGGGCTATATAGCTTTAAAGAGTTAGAGATAAGATTGAAAATTTCATGTAAACTATATAATATTTAAAGATACTTTTGCCAATCGATTTTAAAGACCTTTTTTTTTTTTTTCAGGATACCAGAAAGTGATATCACCTTAATATTGTTCATACTCTACCTCCCCGTTGGATTAGTATTAATACTATTAAGATCATTTATACTCTTGAGTCTTTTTCTCATCACTCAGGTTTTACCAGACACACCAGTTTCTCAGAAACTCATTAATAGAATAGCATGTGTAGGATTAGGAATATCAATTCACGTCGAAAATCCCAAAGTTAAGGACAATGTCCATATGTACATTAGCAATAGTTTATCTATTTTCGACCAGATAGCAGTTTGTAGTGCCTCTGGAGCTGTTTCGGTAAGTATTTTTTAAATGCACTCATGGACAAAATTGTCGAATATTTTTTGATGCCATTGTTACTATTTAGAAAATGATCCCAAATTATTGAAGTCAATTTATGCATTTGATAATGATAGTTATGTACTACTTGACAAATTTCACTATGTCTGAGAGGCACAGACAAAGAATCGCGACCATGCTATTAGTGAGCGAGTAAGCAGAAACGCTTAAAACTTTTAGTTATTCAAATATTTTCATCATAAAATGAGGGAGATCCTTCACAGATTTTATTTAAAAAATTTTATAACAGATTTTTATTTAAAATCCACAAGGAAAACAATTCCTGTAGCTTGCTGTATACCACGTATCACAAAAAAAGAGGTTAGTCTTTGTAAGTGGGTATATTTATTTAAAAACCCTTAAAAGGGCTACATCAAAACAACAAACGTTTTCGGACTAAACAGTCCATCATCAGGTTTAAAATCTGCCACATTTGACTTGAGTACAAACCATTTAGTTAAAACAAACGTGATTATGAAATTTTGACTATGGTTAAAAGAGCAAAATGGCTATACTTACTAGGTTAAAATGCCTGAGCCACCAAAAATACATGGGTAAAAACCCTTTAAATTACTTATAGTTATAAAAGATTATACATCTTGTTGTTAAAAAACTGTGACGTTCATTATTAAATTAAATATGACTTTAGGTAACATACATTGCAAAAAGTTTTGAGTTCCAGAGCCGGGGAGAAAACCTCTACGCACGGAGAACAGCTGGAAACTGATTTACAATATACCTATGAAAGGTGTCAAAAACAAAATGTCAATGTAACATAGAACTATATTAGTTATACCTAGTATTACTACAGCCAAAAGATTCAAAAATTATTTTTGATGATTTTAAAAAATAAAACAGCAATATAGGTGTTGGGATTTAAAATTTGGGTTATAATCGATGTGAAATCACCAATGGTGTTAAAGTCATGTTTAAGAGGATGACCTGTGTATTAGGCAACCTATGTTGCTTTTTGTCGTAAGGAATATGGTCTAAAAGTGTATTTTATGTTAGATTAGCTTATCTATATGAAAATTATCCTTTTATGTTTATCACATCTAGGACAGGTAAAAATTTTTTTATAGTAAATATTTGAAGCTAATATAAGACCTTGTATTTAAATGACTATTTAAGACTGTTAGTATGGTGAGAAATTAATAAAAACAAGTTGGTAAATTGAAAATCTACAGGCTGAAGAAATCAGAGTTATAACCTATGTGATTAATTTAAAATTGAAGAGGCTGAGCTCCTCAGAGACTTGATGAGAAATAGTAGAGGAAATGACTGAAGAAGGAGGGGATGGTTAAAGGAGTTAATCAACAATTAGAGATAATAGGGGTCCTTTATGCTTGAAGCATCTAGCACCCTGAACAAAATGTATTTTAGTAGTAATAAATTCGGTTTGTAAAAATCTAAAATTTGATGTATAAATGTGCTACTTAGTTGTTGATCAAAAGAAAGTGAGCAATGTTGGATAAGGATTTTTTTTTATTATTAGGGGAAAAATATATGAATTTTGAAAAACAGTTAGATGGTGTTTGAATGATTACTGACTTTAAAACTATTGAGTGCATGTTAGATATATGAGTTGACCAAGAAATAATAAAAGAAAAGAAAGGACAGGAATGTGGTGTAGATGTGAAGGGTGAAGAAAATGATAAAATATTATGGTATGATAGATGTGGGTGGTTATAAAGTTAACACTAGGGTCGAAAAGTGATGAAGGGAAGGAGTGGCAAAAGTTTAGAGACTGGTTGTTTGAAGAAGCACAAATAATATGAATTTTGATAAAATGTTAGATAATGTTTGAGAGAATAATAATAATAATAGTCTCCCGTTTTATACCGCACGCGGCTTTGGGAGTATAGCAGGGTAGTCTGCTATATCTAGGGCCTACGGTATACAAGGAAGGTAACATGGCCAGTGCTACGCTTCAACCGCCTATTATTACCCCTGGTTTTACCCAAGGTACTCATTTTATTCAGGCTGAGTCGACCTGGGGCCTATAGACATTTTAAAAATGCCTAGTTGTTCTTGCCGGCGGTAGGATTCGAACTCACGACCACCGGCATGCGAGGCAAGCACACTACCGCTTGCGCTACGCGGGCCCTTTGAGAGAATAAATAGTTAAAAATATCGAGTACATGTTTGATAAATGAGTTGACCAAGAAATAATGAAAGAGAAAAGAATGGATAGGAATGTGATGTAGATGTGAAGAGTGGAGAAAATTGTTGAAATATTTTGTTATGATAGATATGGATGGTTCTGAAGTTAACAATGGGGTCGAAAATCTTTTTGAGGTGAAGGTGTGGCAATATTGTATATTTATTACTACTAAAATTTATTACTACTAAAATACATTTTGTTCAGGGTGCTAGATGCTTCAAGCATAAAGGACCCCTATTATCTCTAATTGTTGATTAACTCCTTTAACCATCCCCTCCTTCTTCAGTCATTTCCTCTACTATTTGTCATCAAGTCTCTGAGGAGCTCAGCCTCTTCAATTTTAAATTAATCACATAGGTTATAACTCTGATTTCTTCAGCCTGTAGATTTTCAATTTACCAACTTGTTTTTATTAATTTCTCACCATACTAACAGTCTTAAATAGTCATTTAAATACAAGGTCTTATATTAGCTTCAAATATTTACTATAAAAAAATTTTTACCTGTCCTAGATGTGATAAACATAAAAGGATAATTTTCATATAGATAAGCTAATCTAACATAAAATACACTTTTAGACCATATTCCTTACGACAAAAAGCAACATAGGTTGCCTAATACACAGGTCATCCTCTTAAACATGACTTTAACACCATTGGTGATTTCACATCGATTATAACCCAAATTTTAAATCCCAACACCTATATTGCTGTTTTATTTTTTAAAATCATCAAAAATAATTTTTGAATCTTTTGGCTGTAGTAATACTAGGTATAACTAATATAGTTCTATGTTACATTGACATTTTGTTTTTGACACCTTTCATAGGTATATTGTAAATCAGTTTCCAGCTGTTCTCCGTGCGTAGAGGTTTTCTCCCCGGCTCTGGAACTCAAAACTTTTTGCAATGTATGTTACCTAAAGTCATATTTAATTTAATAATGAACGTCACAGTTTTTTAACAACAAGATGTATAATCTTTTATAACTATAAGTAATTTAAAGGGTTTTTACCCATGTATTTTGGTGGCTCAGGCATTTTAACCTAGTAAGTATAGCCATTTTGCTCTTTTAACCATAGTCAAAATTTCATAATCACGTTTGTTTTAACTAAATGGTTTGTACTTATTTTAGGCAGATTTTAAACCTGATGATGGACTGTTTAGTCCGAAAACGTTTGTTGTTTTGATGTAGCCCTTTTAAGGGTTTTTAAATAAATATACCCACTTACAAAGACTAACCTCTTAGATTTTTATTTATATCTTTTGATATCAATGAAATTGATTTAAAAATTTATTTTTGTGTCAATAACTATGTATTAAAAGGATGATGGAATGATATACTATTACCATCTTTATAAGAGACTCATGGTTCCAAGTCAAGAAGTTCTTCTGCAAATTTTAGAACATGTTGGCAGCGATTATGGTATTTTGTTGATGAAAAATTAGCATGTTGGCAGCGATTGTGCCATTTTTTTTTAGTCAAAAAATTATAATATAGATAAGAAAATGCGAAACACAAAAATGAAAATCTACAAAACGACCATAAAACCAATGTATAAGCTGCAGAAACATTTACATTAACAGCAACAGAAAAAGAGCAATTGAAAGTTTTTGAGAGGAAGATTATCAGAACGATACTGCGGCCGAAGAGGGAAAATGAAGAGGATTAAAGACAATGGATGAATCACGAAATGCAAGAATGGATGTGGTATGGACACATAATAAGAAAAGAGAAGAGCAATCCGTTAAGAGTTATAACGGAATGGATACCACCGGTAAAAGAACCAGAGGCCTAAACTGAGATGAAGACAACAAGTGGAAGAAGACTTAAGGAGTATGGAAATTAGAAATATAGAAAGGACAATCAAAGAGAGAGAAGAATCTAGAAAAGTACTTTAAACAGCGAAGTCACACCAGAAACTGTAAAATGAAGCCCAGAGTGGGATGATAACCACACAAAAAGGAAACTATTGTATGTGTGGAAAGACTATAAAAATGTTTAATTTTAAAGTAGGCTAACATTAATACATGTACTTAAAGACAAATCAGTTGTAAAACAAGTATTTCATTTCATTGACGTCATATTTTTATTCCAAGGTTAGGAGACCCCCCTAAAATCTAAAAAAATCAATCGATAAAAAAATCTACAATTTTCGCTACTCCGCTACTATCACATAATATAAATTTATAAATCAAAACTTTAAACCGTTTTCTGGAAGCACTTTTGCATATTGGTAAGTTAGGCCAAATCGAGTTATTTTCATCCCTAAAAATCGTGATATAAGTTATGATCAATCTTTTTGTGACACCCTGTATATATAAAATATTTATTGAGGTCGGATATCTGCTGATGAGTTTAGTTTGCAGCTGATAATATTATTTGCACTTTCATCTTATTTTACCAATCACTAATAAAGACTTCACAGTTATTAATTATTATTGTTAAATTATTATCAAACAATTGGTTTCGAAAACTACTTTACGGATTTATTATCAGATGTCGCTATTGCGTCCATATCGAAGCCATTTTAATGTTGCTTCTTTAAGACAGAAAATATGTATTTTTCACGTTGAGAACGCCTATGAATAGCTGTTCTGATGAGGCCTATTACGCCGAAATACGTATAAACAGATACATAGACGGTTTGTACGTGAAATCTAATCTTTACTGTCTTTTTCATTTCATATTATCAAACAATTTCACACCAATAGGTACTTTAATAGTAATATACTGCTACCGATAGCCTTTCTACGCCCCTGATGGAACACACGAAGATTCAAGTTGTAGATGCGGCGCTCTAATCGCATCGAGAAATTTCTAGTAATATCTGGGAAGGAAGCGGAAACATATACAGAGATAAATTAAATTGTAGACAATCAGTCGATATTATAAATTTGTACGGTTAATTAAATAAACGTTATAAATTAATTGTGTTTTTAGTGTTAGTGTTAGAAGAATGAAAATAAATTACAATAGCTATATGTTTTAGCCTAGCTGCAGAACAACTTTGGAGAAAGTATTAGGGCTTAGTACTTATTGCTTTGGATCGATCACAAATTTGGATAATTTTAAGAATAATATCAAACAATTTATGGTAGAAAAGAAGACACCTTTATACTTTGCCCCAGAAGAAAAACTCACCAACGGAAAAGCGCTTTTGAAGTTCAAAACATATCCATTTGAGTTTGCCAATAAGGTTAGTGTAATATATTAGTAATATGTAAAATAAACTGCATCGTTATTGACGACAGGTTGCTTACCTTCAGCTAAAAAATCTCTATTTATTACTTACAAAAGGTAAGTTAATGGGTAGTTACAGTATTGTGCGAATTAATGGAATCATAGGCTGTTTTAATGAAAAAACAGTTTATTTAGTAAAAAATTATATTTTGACAAAACTATAAAGGTAAACTTACATCATTCAGTAGGAAATATGTCCCCCTTTGGCAGCAATTACTGCTGTTACCCGTTTTGGCATAGATTCTATGAGTTTCTGGCAGTTGTCAGATATCCTTTCATCTCGACGCCAAACCTGAATGGCCGCTTCTATCATTTTTGTTTTAGTGGTACAGTCGATTTTTCGCAGTCTAGCTTTGCAAATGGCCCATAAATTTTCAATGGGGTTGAGGTCGGGCGAATTACCGGCCAATCTAAAACATTAATCTTCTTATTTTGAAAAATGCCATCATTTCCTTTGATTTGTGACAGGGAGCAGAGTCCTGTTGAAGAATCGCTCCTCCTTGGGGTTGATATTTTTGGAGTTGTTTGTCCAAATACTTTTCCAACATGGATTTGTATTTTTGGCTGTTCATCATGCCTTCAATTGGCACCAAAGATCCAACCCCCATGTATGAAAAACATCTCCAAAACATTTTCGTGACTGGATGTTTTACGGTTTGATCAATGTGAGATGGTGTAAGCTTTTCATTGTCAGACTTCCTGACGAATTTCGACCGCTGTCCCTGAACTATAAAGTGGGTTTCATCTGTAAATAGGACTTTTTCCAGTCGCCTACAGTCCAATTAGAGTATTTTTTGGCCTACAGCAGCCTTTGTTTCTTCATTCGTTCAGTTAGAAGCTGTTTTTTCTGTAGATGAATTGCCCTTCTACCATTCTCCAAAAGTCTTCTACGAATAGTTGAGTCATGAATCACTATAGCTGATGCTGCTAGATCTTGTTGTAGGTCTTGGCTTGATTTTCTTGGGTCCAATTTGCTCTTTCGAAGTAAAAATCTATCATCTGCTGGTGTTGTTTTTCTCTTTCTTCCACATTTTCCTAACCTTTTTACATCCACTGATCCCGTTTCTCGTTTACGCTTCAAAATGTTGCTTACTACCCCCTGACTCACTCCACACGTTCTAGCAATCTCTCTTTGTGACATACTAGTGTGTTCACTCAACGTGGCAATCTTTTCACGCTTCCTAGGCGTAATATCCATGTTGGAATAAATACAAACAACACAAAATAGTACAAAAACGCCCAAAACAACACAAGCTTGGTAAGAAATGACCTAAAACACACTCAAACACACCAACACACAGTAAGGTTATGTTTTCAATGCTTGGTCAGCTGTCAACTGTGTAGGTAGTGTTGCCAACTGTGAATATTGAAAAAATGAAAAAAAATTCGCAGTGATTCCATTAATTCGCACAATACTGTACTTTGTAACTCTATTGTTGTTTTATTCTTCGTATGTTTTCAATCAACTTACTAATCAATTTTGCTATCTTCTGACAAAATTTTTAAAAATTAGGGAAGTTGTATGGTTGGGATCATTTCAATAATTTAAAATACAGGTACAAAACACATTTAACTGAACAGAGAGTTTTAGCTACCGAATCACGACTGGAGATAGGAAATTTTCCACAACCAGATCATTTGAGGGAGGGAGGATGCTTTGTGAAACCGTTGTATTTATATGGCGATTTGTTGACGAGAGGTGATTTTCTGTGAGTGCGGAAAGAAGCAAGGTTTATTATGATCGAGAAGTAATAAAATGTTATACATTATATTTGTTATTGGGAGCTATTATCGTGCAATATAATATATTAAACGAATACTTCGTCCAAACACTGATGATACAAATAACAATATCCGATGTAGTAGTTTCATATATACAAGAATTTAGTTGGATAATAACCATCTATAACTGTTGGAATCACAACTATATTTGAGTAATATAATGATATATGGTTTGTCGTACGAAGCAATTTTTCCCGCCCTGTTCTCGATTTCATAATCATATTTTTTAGTAGGTCTAGCCATCTTTCCATTTATGATGTGGATTATGAAATTCTAGAAGCCACTTCAGAGCTGTATGATTTATCGAAGACTTTTGACCTTTTGAACTTTTGGCCTTACAAATATTTATGAAAATATTCCCAAGACTTCACCTAGAAGATCTCTTCTTGTAACGCAACAGTTTCTTTCTGGTTTTGATTTTACTCAAGTAAGCGATGATTTTCCTTGCTCATCTTGAATCTTGTCTGGGTTAACTTAATATCGGTGCATTGATATGAGTTATGTGCAGTTATATGTACCTAAGGCGAGGAACTTTCATCTTTATTTTTTGGTACTGACCATTCTCGAATTGCTTCTATCTTCTCAGGATTATCTGTCACACTATTATTAGGTACGATATGGCTAAGTATCTAACTTCTCTACGAAACACTCTTAGATTGTTGTAATACTCGTCGAAAGATTTTCGAACCACAAACATGCCATCCAAATAAACTAAACATATCTACTATGTCAGCCCTCACAAAAATGTCTTCGTTGGTCTTTCAAATGTAGCGGGCCAATTGCATAGAACAAAAATCATAACCGCAAATTGCAAAACACTTAATCCTATCTAGAATGTGGTTTTCTCTCGATCAGCTGGCTCTATTCAATATCTGGCGAGTGTCCACTTCTTAGCTGAAGGTTAGAAAACCAACGATACTCGCGGAGTGTATTCATTGTATCGTCTATTCTCGACAAGAGATGACTATTTTTTTTTATTTACCCTATTGAGTGACTGAAAACGCATTTAAAAAGTTTAATACAAGTTGACTTCCACGAACTATTTGATGGTTCAGTGGCCCTTTTTGCCTAAGTCTCTAATAATTTCTTCAGTTTTATCTCTTTTCCCTAACAGAAGTCTTCTCGGTTGTTGTCTATTGGCATCTTCAGTATTGATTTTAGGGGTTCCTATCTTATTTTGCCCTTATTCTTTTTATCAGTATCAAAAAAAAACCTTGAAATGTTACCTCATAGCCCTTACTTTTTGTTTCTTTTAGTTGTTAAGATACTGACATTTACCAATGACTATATCAACACGCTCTTTTGCGTATTTTCTCTTCGAAGGTTGGTTAGTGAAAGTGGAACTCTTCACTTTAATCTTCAGCAGGACCCAATTTATAACATTTAGTGCAACCCCAATTTGTTTAATAGGTCTATTCATATTATGAATTCTCAGCATTAATATTTTGTAGTTGAGTGCACTCTGGCCAAGACATACTAGCATATTAACTGATGTTGATGACAATATAAGAGGACCTCTCATTATTTTTGATCGTACAATGGTTCTTGCTGCATCCGTATCAATCAAAACCGTATCCTTTTTATCAATACAACCATCAATTTACAAGCTATGAAATCCACTAGAAAATGTTGTGTGTAACAGTGACTACAAGATATTTATTTCTCGAGATCGACTGTTTCTCCTTTTTGGCGACCATTTTTTCCAGACGTTCATCTGGTTCATCAATCTGATTGGCTTCTTCTACTATTGTTCTAATCCAATGGCTTCATGAGGTTTCTAATCCTTTTACTATTCCTCCATCTAATAGTTTTGATCTTCCTGATAATAAAGCGCTCTCTAATTATAAAACCGTAAAATAGTTTCGAAACACAATTCTTTGAATAATTGTTTACGAGAACACCTTGGAATAACTGTTCTGATGAGACCTGTTAGGTCGAAATACGTATCAACAGATACAAAGGCGCTGTTTGCGTGAAATCAAATATTTGCTGTCTTTTCACTTCACGCTCTCTAATTCTTTCTCAACCCATAAATGAAAATACTGTTAGAAGTTGGCTACAATTCCGCAAATTCTTTTTACACTGAATTCTAATTCGTAATTGCCCTCTATAGCGTTTTTGCAGTCGATTGATTAAGGTTTGATAAAATTTCTCTTGATACCTGTCGATCATAATATGTCTGCAACATTATATTGCAAACTGGCAGTCAAGGAAGCTTTTCTTTCGTCTGTCTTATAATTTCCGTCGCAATACAGAAGATTTTTTAGAAACCTCACGCTGATTTTTTTAAAATTTTCTTTGATCATTTCAGAAGTTTTGTTGAATTTCTCACCAGTCTTGCTGTATCTTCCCCATTGGCGATGAGCTCTTCCTTCAATCGTTCTTTAAGGAGCTTTTTGGGACCGCTAGAATCTTCATCTCGGTCCTAAACCCGTTCATGTTACTGTTCATGGCAATATGTTGGGAACGCGCCCAAATTTTCGAATAAATCTTAAATAGTATACAAACGATTGTTTGTAAATGTTTTATAGTCCAGAATTCACTTCAAAAACCCAATGTTTATGCTATTAAATTTACTGCCGCCATTTTTTTAGTTTATAAATTATATAAACGAATATTCCCACTTCTAACATCAATTTAATGTTAAACTAAATGCTCGATTCGTGTTATATACACCATTTATCATTCTTATTAACCTGTACACTTGTCTCTTCAAATATATTTACAGACTAACTAATTAATGACGAAAACTGCCTGTTTATACACTAATACACTCAATATAACGTCCGGAAACATCTCGAGTATGCGCCCTACCATTCCTGTCAAGTAGTGTCTACGTAGAAAGTATAAAGTTCGATATATTCTGAGACTATGACTTCTGTTAGTCCGCGTGCTTGTTACATTATGTTATCAAAGTTTAAGTTCATGTTATAACAGGCAAAAATTAAAGAGCACCAGTGTGGTCAGAGAAAAACTTAGTACATCGTGTTTTCCTCATACCACCACATACATTTTTTAATTAAGTTGAAATTATACATTTTCTTGTAATTTTAAGGTTCAACCTGTCTGTATTAGAATAGAGAGACCATTTTTGGACGTTGCTGTTACGACTGTAGGATCAACATTCGTTAGTGACATGTTATATTTTCTTTTTGTACCAATAACTAATTACAAACTAACTTTCTTGGCTCCCTTAGAAAAGAGAACAATGTCTGACGATGAATTTGGAGAGATAGTGCGACAGAATATGGCTACATCTTTAAAGGTAAGTGAGGACACCTTATGGTAGTGGGATATTTCACTAAATTAATGTATTCGATGTATACTAACTGCGAGGTTTCATTCACAAAACGAAGTATTAAAAAATTAAGTCAGTAATATAAATTTGTTTACCATTTTCTATCGAAGGTTGGAAATCATCATGGCTATGCGGACCCTGTTAACTGCCGCTGTAAATAGTTCTGCACTACTTCATTCAAACCATTCCCTCAAGTTCTTAAGTCAGGATACTCTTCGTCTTCCCACATTTCGCTTTCCTTGAATTTTGCCTTGTACAATAAGCTGCAATAATGAGTATCTTTGCCCTCTTATGCAACATCAAAATTACTTTATTTACACAAAAAGCTTATTTAGATGCACTTGTTTTAATGTCCATGCTTCCAAACCATAAAGAAGATTAGTGAATATGTAACATCGAAGCATTCTTAAGCGTAGTCCTAACCTTATATCCCGACAACAAAGAAACTTTTTAAGTTTAACGAATGATACACGTGCAATTTCATATCACAGATATATGATTATGTAGATTTATTTTTTTTTGTTTTAATATTCGCTACTTTACTTTTTTTGTGAGATTCTTTCAACAACTTCGATGGCTTGTCTTGCCGGCGAGAAGTTGGACTGTTTTTGCACATAGCGCCACATGAGATTTTTCTATTAAAAGAAAGTCTCATGTGTGTTTTGTAATCCGGTGGAATAATCTACCATTTATAAAAACAATGGAGTCTAAAATTATTTGCTTCTTACAATTCTGGAAGTGTGGGAGTGGCGTAGATGCATGCTTAACATATTTCCTCCATTTTTCTGGTGTGACCTTAAATTATAGCAAAGTTAGTATCTAAAAATTAAAAAAAAAATTAATTTACCTGTTCTAATGATTTTTTCCACACATTTAATACTGTGGCTTCATTTGTAACGCCAGCAGAAGTTATATTGGCATCATAATACCTTTTGCAGTCAGATCAAACATTCTCTATTGGATTGAATTGAAAATGATATGGAGGCAGTCTTAGGACACGATGGCCATATTGAAGGGCCAGCCTATCCAATCTGTAAAACAAAATATATGAAAATGCCACTTACTAAATAAATTCTAATACATACTTAAATATTTTTTCTGGTAAATGCTTCTTCACAATATCCATTAACTCAAATTTCATCATAGTCATTGAACAATTAATATGTCGGTTTTTCAACCATTCTAATAGAGAATGTTTTGCCCAACTAGCATTTGGTATTTTATCCAATAAAGCTGAATGGTATGATGCATTATCCATTATAATTAATGACGGTTTTTCTAAATTTGGTAAAAGCTGATGCTCAAACCATTTTTCAAAATTCTCAGAATTCATTGAATCATGGTAGTCACCAGATTTACTTCCACTTTTGAAAATCAGTTCACAGTTATCAATGAACCCATTTTCAGAACCTGCATTAAGAATAATGTATTGTACACCTTCTCCATTCTTCTTTCTGACTGCATTAACACTGCCATCTTGCCAGCTCTTGCGGAATCCTCCTTTGCTGAATATCCAGGTCTCATCCCAGAAAACTGGTTTTAGAGGGTACACATTGGTTTCATTGTCCTTATAGGCTTTTAAGAACTGAAGTCTTTTTAAAGTGACATATGGTTGTTTGACCCATCTAAATTTTAATTCCTTTAAAACTCTGCTAAGTGCAGCAATAGAAATATTAATCCCATCCACTTCCTCTAGTTTTTGCTTCAGGGTATCGAGAGTCACATGCTCACCTAAAACGATCAAAGTTTAAAGACACTATAGTGATTCTTCTAGGAAAAATATTAAGAATGTAAAGTAACATGTTAGGTTTGATATTAGGAATTTGTCTATTTAAATGCTATATGCAACAGTACTCCTTTCATAAATCGTAATAACCATATTTAAATAATCCAAAGTATAAGAGTTATAAAAATATATCTATATATTTTACCAAACTACACAAGGTATACTCTAGCAAAAAGGCAAAGAGGACTCCTAAATCTTTATTTCAATACTTGGTATTTAATTCAGTAGTAGTATTTTTATAATCACTTTTCATTTCTATATATTTGTCTATGTAACTAGTTGTCAGTAATAATTTATTAAAAGAAATGTCTATGGAAATTAGTTACTCCTGCCTTTCTATCAGAAATATGGTAAAATATTTTAACTAAACTGTTGTAATGCTCTTACCTTTACTAAACATTCTGTATACACACATCCTGATGGCATGTTCGTATTTATTTATTAATAATGTCGGTTTACGACTCGTGGCTACTGATTGGCTCATTGTGATTGAATAATCAGAATCTTTTTGGACACCTTCATTTGCCAATCGTCTTATTGTTGGCAAAGAAATTCCTAACGCCTCAGCAACACGCTGAAATAAACAGTAGGTAAAAATAAAACAATTTTATTTTCAGTGTAACTTTAAACTTACTTCACGAACAGCAGAAATTGGTAATAAAGTTTGCCCAGCTTCTTTTTCTAATTCAAAATATTTAAGTACTTTCAGTATCAGAACTTGTTCCTTTTCCGTAAATCTTGGCATTTTAAAAATATTATAATGAAAACCAAAACAAAATAAAAATATAAACAAATAATGCACAACAACGCTATGAAATAATGTCAAATACTGACCTGAACCGACAAGATCACTTCACTCTTCGACACTTCTAAAGGATGGCCAAATGAATGGAGTTTTACATCCAATGTTCGTGACTCGCGTAACTGATTAGCTAGAGAAAGCGCGCATTTTAAATATCAACGAATCAAACGTAGGTAAAGAATAGACCGGTTGTGTATGCAACGCTGTAATATTTTCGTGTTTTAATCACGGAACTGCCGCTTTTTTCATCACATCCAACTTAATGCGTTAGAAAGAAATCGAAAAACTGTGACGCACTGAAAAAAGGCTCTGAAAAGGAGAATACTTGTTATTCATATCTTCTTGACTCTAACGCGTCCCGTTATTTTTGTGCTTCTTTTTTGTAACTGTTCTATATTTTTCAACGAATTTTCGATTAATATACTGTGATATTTCCGATTTTAGGTACAAATAACCAATTATACCTCAAATGATTTAGCAGAATGGGAAAAACGAACATTGGCAGATCCTCCACAAAGGCCGCAAACCCGGTTTGCTGGTCCTAGAACTCTCAATCCAGAGCTGCAAAGGATGGGTAAACAAGTAAAAGAAGTTTTACCGCATGTTCCACTTACCGCTATTTATAGTGATTTATGTAAGTATGTCCTCTATATAGTAGTGCCTCTGTATATTCGCTTATACGTATTTCATCCTACCAGGATTCATCAGAGCGACCGGTACAGTGGCTAAAAGAATAACAATAGAATACCAACAGCTACCTTTGTACTTTTAAAAGAGATAAGAATAGTGTATTCTTTATTTCTAATTTTGTATGCTTTTTTTTCGGATAAGCACTTACGTTTTATTAGAAATTATTTAAAACAGTTTGTGTTTACGTTATTATAATAATAAAAGAAAATTTTATTTTAAAAATGCAAGGGCTCCGTTTTCCGTGCCTATGAGTGTATAAGAAAAATATATATTACTTATAATAAACAATTATTTTTTAGATGTAACTAGAAATGTAGACATAACAATAACAAACATCCTAGAAGGACGCGTACTCTTCACGCCCGAGCAACCTTCAGCAACTACTACTAGCCTACCTTCAACTTCGTCTATTTCACCTAGTTCTAATGTAACAGGAGCTTCCACTTCCGGCAGTAAAACGTCCTTTAATACTGCCGCCTCTTCTTTTTCCAGATCTGCATCGGAACGCAGCAGGTCGTTCCAAGAACGCAAGGAACAACTGATCGCCACCGCAAGAAGGCGGTATATCGAAAAACACAATCTCGATATACCGATTTAGAGTTCGATCTGACTAACGCGACTGAAATGTTGATGAATGTAAATTTTATTGAAGGTGTAGTTAATTTTACAATATATTTTTGATTTTGAACATCTACACTAAACGCAAAAAAATTTCTGTTGCACATTGTATTTAATTTGTTGCCATATTTCGAAACTGGATCCACTAATTAGGTTTTATTAGCAGGATACTTACTTTACTTTGCATTTCATGCGATCGCAGTGGTTATGACGTCATCGTTTCAGTTGGTGCAACAGGAATGCACCAACATTAATGGATTAATAGCTCAGAGAAACATCATAGATACATATATAATACATAAAAACACAATACACAACCACAAAACAAATCAAAATTTGATATCAACTCAAAGGTTAAATTCAAAACATGTCTGTCTGTCTGCAAGATCGAGGCCGGTTAAGTCGCCTGTCAAATTTGGTCAAAACAGCGCCAACTAATAAACATCAACAGGTGTAATGGACTGCCGGAGTGATGACGTAAATTTTATCGACATCTGTCAGTTTAACTTTACAACCAAATCTTGTTTAGTGTGAATAATTTGTATTTTTCGTTATTTTTTCATTTTTTTACAGAATCTTTCCGCTTTTTGCAATATCTAGGTATTCTAATAAATAGTACAATTTTACAAGGTTATGTAAATAATAAAGCATGTTGTTTATATAAACAAAATGCATGTATCAATAAAGTAAGGTTAGAATTTCTTTAAACTATATTTAATAGAAATACATGCATGTTGTTTATATAAACAAAATGCATGTATCAATAAAGTAAGGTTAGAATTTCTTTAATTTAAACTTTTAAACTATATTTAAAATAGAAATAGAACACGGAGTTATGATGGTATTATCGTAAAAAACACTATGCTTAAAAGAAAAAGCAGCAGAGGAAGCAAAATGTTAAAACTTTATAGAAATTAAAAAGTCTTGAGATTGGGCATTTCAACTTTTGTTTGAAAAGTAATAATAACAATATGGCCACCGTGACGTCACACTCCGGCTGTCCATAACCTCATTTTTTTTTATAATTTTTTAAATTTTTTTTTGAAAACAATTTCAGGAGTGAAAATCGAAACGAAATATAAAATGTAATATTTTTTATTGCAATTATTGTGGTTTAATACCATATAAACATAATATTTGACTTAATTTTTTGCAGTAATTTATGTAGATAATTTTAACTACATCTCCAATAATTAACATTTTATTCTGAAGTGACCGACTCATTCTGCAGTGAGTTGATTAACAAATGTGTACAGCATACACCTATATTTTATATACGTAAAGTAAGGCTATACAAAAAATAAGGAATCTGTCGAGTTACTGGATGATGATTAGAATATTTCTGTTGTTTTTTTCTTTTTCATTAATTTTACTTTATTGGTAGATCTTTCATGATAAATGTCATCTGTCAATGAGGTGCTGTAAGAATATTTATTTTAACATATTTGAGTTCTGTCAACTTTTTGGTTTAAAAATAATGAATACCCAATTCCAACATAAAGATATTCTTAAACACACCTGGGAACAATCTTCGCTCCAAGTCGATCATAGACAAAACGGAGAGACATAAATTGCACCTTTTATTCCAACCAAGTATTAAACATATTTTTCATCTAGATTAGAAAAGGAACTAAATGAGATAACTAAAAATATGGATGTAGAACAAGAATACAACAACCTCAAAACAATAATAAAAAACTCGAGCGCCGATACTCGAAAAAGATTACCAATTAGCGAGAAGGCTACATCGCATTCGATGACTTATTTGCAGACCAAGCGTTAAGAACAACTAATATAATAAATAAAGTCTGTTAGACTATGATTACCAGAGTTTGTAACAAGTAATAAGCCAATTGAAAGATGACATTTATTTAAGATCAATTTTGATCGTTAAGGCTGTTTTCGCAGTTATAGCATACTGCGATTTGAAGTGGGCGTATCACTTACTTTTCTACACTGCTATGTCAGAGCCTACGTGACTTCCTAATAGTTTGGATGTTTATTCAGTGGCGCCGGCCCACGGGTTGTTTAAAATAAATGCATTATTCTCCATTCAAATTAGTTTTGTCGGAATACTTTTTTTTTGATTAATTATCGTAGATAATGTTTTAAAAAGAATTAATCACATTTTTAATTTATATGTCTTAGCTAAACATAGTATTAAATAAAAATTTGTGAAACGTGACTGCAAAAAACACCATGGTGTTTATTTATAATAAATTTAAATTTTGTTATATTAATATTAATATATAATTAATATTTTGTTAATATTTGTTAGAGAAAACTGATATTAGCGTAGTAAAAATTAAACAAAAAATATTTTTATTTATCTATAAAAAATTGGTACCTGCGAAACCATCATAATAGTAAATGTATTTATCTGGCAAGTATTTCGAGGCGACGCACTGCGAGGAAAAAGTTCTCTGAATGGAATATACATTATTTTAATATATTTATAGGTTGCAGTTACATAAGAAAAGTATCCAATTGATGAATAAAACACAAATCGTGGATAGTTATTTCATCATATCAGTGGCATTTCAGCTCGTCATGAGCCAAAGGCTTCTTCAGAACAATCTTCCATTCGCCCCTGCCTCTGGCAACTTTCTCCATGCTTTAACTCCGATGGATTTTAGATCATCCTCTATGTTATCTTGATACCTAAGTTTTGGTCTTCCTCTGGATCGTCTTCCCACTGGTCCTCTTCGGTCGAAAATTTTTCTGATCGTTTCATCTTCATCTCTCCTAATTACATGTCCTATCCATCAAAGGCGTACTAATTTAATAAATTTCACAACGTCAGGTACTACACCTGAAGAAGCATCGTAGTTTACTTTATACGATCTTTTTGACCAAGCACCATCAGCTATAACGGTTATTAACCCATTTCCGTCGGAATCTACTTCACCAATTTCTTTGGCTAAAGCTAATTCCTCCCGTCCAGCCTCTTCTAAGGAATCACAAAGTGTTTGGCCGATGATATCTGCAACTGTTTCCGTATGTTTTGCATACTGCCTGTAGGAAATCACAGGTATATTTAATGCAGCGTGCTGCTGCTGTATGTCTGAATAACCAAAACCATTCAAGTTCAGTGAATTGTTACCAGAATCCTATGTTGCTATCTCCTTTTCAATATTCCACATTTGACATTTAAAAGTCAATGTACTTATCAATCCGTCCATTTTTTCTTTGATAATCTCCATATTAGAAAAGTTGCATGAAAATGGAGAATGATTATTCAAACCTTATATATATATATATATATATATATATATATATATATATTTAGTTAAATAAAAGCTTTTAAAAACGGTTGTAATATAAATAATAAATACTAAAGCAGTGCAATTGCTCTCCTTTTCCTTGACATAGGACGTTTACTGGGACTCATTTTTTATCTTGTCTCTTATAACTTATATCACTAACCTAATGTAATACTCAAAAATACGCGTAAACTAAAGAACGTTTAACTTATACCACTAAACTAATAATATATTACTTAACATACACGTAAACTAAATAATTTCAATGTTTTCAAATAAATAAGAATACTGTAAACTGTAAAAACTAAGCAAGTTGATAAAGAAAATACAAGAATGAAAGAACTAAAATGGATTCTAATTCAAGCGAACTAACTGACCGTACCCATAGAGAAATAAAAATAAGACCGTACCGTACGCTCATGTGATTTGACGTCACTAATGCGATAACGATCAAGCTCAACGACAATGATGAGGAACACGTTTCACTATTAGATTTCAGTATTTTTTAATAATTTTCTTCAAAGTTTGAATACGCTTTTCTCGATTATTACTGGACACAGAAAGGTGAAAAAAGAATCAACGATTACAGAAAAAAAAAACTCTTTCAACTGATGGGCGTGAAAAGTTTGGTTATAATAGAACGTTAAACAGTATAATCCAATTTTTCAACAGAAAATTCAAAAAATAAAAAAAGTAAAACCATCAGTTTAAAGGCAACATAATTTCGTATAACATGTCCAAATTTCGAGACAATTCGTCGGTAAATAACAGAGAAAAAATTTTGGTGCACCGATAAAACAGCCTTAACATCAAAATTTTGGGAAAGAAATAAAAAGGGATAGTTTTATACAAACGATATTTTTAATTTACTTTATTATGATTGTCTAATTTAAATTTCGTCGTACTTATTTGGGTGTTTTGTTTTTAACGTTTGAGCTCATTTTGTTCAGAACAAACTTTTATATTCGGTTTATACAAACGGTACGTAAATAAGGATTGTGATACGAAATAGTCAATGTTGTTAGTTTTAACGGTATAAATTTCGAAACAGCTGAAACATTTAATCAAGGACTGTAGAAGAGTCTTAGAATAAGGGGGAAGAATGGTGCCAATAACGAATAAATTTTGCCTTAAGCTGCACATTTTCGGACTCTTAAATATATCTTAAGTTTGTATATACTTCACTGTTATTTATTTTATAAATAAAATAAGGTCTATTTCAAATTCTATTTATTTCTCCAAACACCATTTACATTTTAGGTCCTCCGCACACTAGATGAACTGTTTACAATACAACTTGAATTCAAAAATGGTTGTCCAATAGTTGCTTGTGCAACTGGTTTTGCAAACCGTTTATGTTCTCTGTGTGCACATGAGTGGCACTGAATCTGGATCAGTTGATAGGCGTGTAAAGATAATTCATAATGTCGTGGACCTGACGTCATTATTTAGTGACGTCGATCTACGGATGAAACAACGAAATCAGGCATTGCTAAAAACATTGAGTTCTCTTTGGTGCGTTATCTTAGCGAGACAGAGACGAACTAGTTTTTTGCGTTAGTGAAATAGCTTTAATATTTTTGTATTTTTGTGATCAATCGTTTTTAATATTTTATAGTGAGATACTATTTATGTTCAGTGCGTTTCAAGTCGTTTTTTAACATTTTACAGTGAGATCCTAAAAATGTAAGTTAAATTATGTTTATTTTAAAATAATTTATATGTTTTGTACACTTATGACAAATTAATGAATTAAAAAAAATCACTTTTAAAAGTGTGTAAAATCTGATAACTTTATTGTTTATTTTAATATTTTTTGCAAAA